CCCGCTCGCCCCCGTCGTCGTCCACGAACACCACCTCCACTCGGCACCCCACCGTTCGCGCGATATCGTCGCACGCACGCGCCTCGCGCGCGCGCCGTCCGCGCGCGATGCATCGCGCGAGCGCTGTCTTCCCGCTCCCGCTGTCACCCACGACGACCACGCGCGCCTTTCGCCCCGTCGACCCCTCGCGCGCGTCCATCGCGCGCGCCCGGTGGCGCCCGCGCCCCGCGCGCGCCACCGTCGCGGTCGTTCGCGCCCGTCGTCGCCGCGCCGACGTCGCGTCTCGATGGCGCGCACGACGGTCATCGGCATCGTCTCCATCGCGTCTTCTGTACGGGCGTCCGGACGCGTGCGGACGGCGATATACAATCCTAGGGTTCAGCCATACCCAGCGATCGACGACGAACACGCGGGCGAGCGCTCGAAACGGGTCTTTCGCGTGATCGACCGGTGACGATGGCGTGATCGACCGGTGGCGATCGGGCGTGCGACCGGTGGCGATCGGGCGTGATCGACCGGTGACGAGGGCGCTGACGCGGATGGGTGGACGATCGCGCGCGCGATCGCGATCGATGACGGGCGTACGACGGCACGCGCGGACGCGTGGGAGGCGCGGACGCGGACGATGGTGCGATCGATGGTGCGCGCGCGTGTGGTGGCGCGGGGGGGGGGGCGCGCGGGACGACGACGCGGGGGCGGGCATTCGAGGACGGGGAATTCGAGGACGCGGACGAGAGCGATCGAGGGACGACGACTGGACGAGGGATATAACTGCGTCATTCGCGATGACGGCGTGATCGTGGCGGAGGATATCCCGAGCGGGACCTATGAAGTCTCCGCGTGGTGGGCGGGGGCGAGAAACGATGGGAAGGGGAACGCGCCGAGGTGCGATAGCGAACGGCAACGCGGGTGCGAGGTGCGATGCGAACTCACGGAGGACGGAGACCTCGTGTGCGAGGGGCTGGAGAGTGGAACGTACAACGTGATGAACGTGAAAGATTTGGACGAGGCGTGCGTCGTTGCGATGGATGGGACGACGATCGAGTGCGCCGGCGCGGGTTCACCGGTCGAGAAAGATACGGGTGACTTGAATCTCAAAGATAGCGCGCAACACGGCACGCGTCTCGGTGGTTAATTAATGATAATAAGAGCTGACGCAGAACGTGAGTTATATTTTGTTGTAAATTCGCGAGCATATGAATCCATTACATCTATTTGCCGAAGCCTCGCTCCATGTTCTCGAACGAGGGTTCGAGGATGTCGAGTAAGCCGAGCGGATTGTCAATGTGCACCCAGTGCGCCGAATTTTTGAGCAAGTGCACGTTCGCGCCGGTGCGACGAATGCGATCCACGTCCTCCGGCGTCCAAACGAACGCCGAGCGCTCGGCTTGGACGAAATCCAGACTCAATCCCGCGGGCTGCGTCTCGAGCATCGGCCACAAATCGTACGCCTCGTACGAGGCGTACATCTCCGCTATCCCGTCCAAGTCAAACGTCCAGTCAAACTTGCCATTCCCATCCGCCTTGAGATTCGTCGTCATCCACTGCGCCCCCTCTATCGTGAATCCAGCACCCGTGAGAGACTCCACAAGCGCGCGCCGACTGTCGATCGGACGCGAGAGCGTCGTGCAGAATCGAATCGTATCGCGCGGATGGTCGCCCACGTCGTCGCACCACACGTCCCCCGGAACGGTATCGAGCACCCAAACCTGCACTGGACGCGGCAGCGCTCGACCGAACTGATGCACCATGCTCATCGCCACCTTACCCCCGTACGAGTGCCCGATCAGGGTGTACGGATATATCTTTAAACGATTCAGCACGCCCAACACGTCTCTCGCCGCGTTTTGCACCGTGTTCTCCGTCCCCGCGTTCGCCTCCTTGTACATCCCCGAGTTCGACTCCCCGTGGTTCCTTAAATCTACTGATAAGAACTGCCACGACGGAAAACGCTCCGCCAACCTCTTCGCGAACGATTGTAAGTTCCTTCTCGACCCTCGGGGTGCGGGTGGGGGTGGGGACGTCGGCGTCGACCGCGGCGCCGCTGGCGCACGAGATGATTCAGGGGGCGCTGGTGCGGTGGAGCGTGGAGAAGCCGGATGGGCCGCATCCGCCGACGTGCGTGCTCATACACGGCATCTTAGGGTCGAGAAGGAACTTACAATCGTTCGCGAAGAGGTTGGCGGAGCGTTTTCCGTCGTGGCAGTTCTTATTAGTAGATTTAAGGAACCACGGGGAGTCGAACTCGGGGATGTACAAGGAGGCGAACGCGGGGACGGAGAACACGGTGCAAAACGCGGCGAGAGACGTGTTGGGCGTGCTGAATCGTTTAAAGATATATCCGTACACCCTGATCGGGCACTCGTACGGGGGTAAGGTGGCGATGAGCATGGTGCATCAGTTCGGTCGAGCGCTGCCGCGTCCAGTGCAGGTTTGGGTGCTCGATACCGTTCCGGGGGACGTGTGGTGCGACGACGTGGGCGACCATCCGCGCGATACGATTCGATTCTGCACGACGCTCTCGCGTCCGATCGACAGTCGGCGCGCGCTTGTGGAGTCTCTCACGGGTGCTGGATTCACGATAGAGGGGGCGCAGTGGATGACGACGAATCTCAAGGCGG